GGAGCGGGATACACAGCTTGTGGAATGATCTGGGTATAGTTGGGGATGGTTGAGGTAATAGTGGAGGTGGATAAGAGCGGTTTTGATTGGGGGGGGACAGTTGATGACTTGTGACGACAGGGGTTGTCATCTTGGGCGAGGGGGGAGGTGGAGCGACCATGGTGGAGGTAGTGGTGGATGAGGGTGGGGGTGTACAGGTGGACGGTGTTGGTGTGGAGGTTGAAGTGGAGGCTTGTCCGGAGGAGAGGGTGGGTTGGGGTGTGGAGGAGGGGGGTGTGGTCGTGCTGACGACCGTGATGGCGGGGGAGTTTCCCTCGAGCGTGGTAACACGATCGGAGATGGCAGACATGGTGGTGTCGATGGTGGCGAGGGAGGATTTGAGGGCGGTCAACGTTTGGAGGATAGTTGCGAGTTCCGGGGTGGTGCTGGTCGAAGTTGGCTGATCGCCTGCGAGTTCGTGGGTAATGCTGTTGACGGAGTCAGAACGAAGATCAGACATGTTGATGGAAGATTGGGCCATGGTGGGGGAAGAGGGGGTGGATGACGTGGCCGGAGCGGAAGTGGAGGCGGTAGCAGCAGATGTGATAGCGGCAGCGGTGGCGGCGGCAGTGGCCGCGGTGTCGGCAGCGACGCGTTGGGAGGTCTTGGTTTGGCATGGTGGCATGTGGAGATGGGGGGGACAATTCCTATTTACAAGAATAGAGTGTCGTCAAAGTGATTTAGCAATGAAGGTAGCAGAGAATCGCAGAGCAAGAATTAATTTTGAATAAATTAATTTGAATTTATTCGAAATTAATTCGAGTGTATTTTTCAAGAAAATACGAAAGCGAATTTTTCAGGAATTTCCAAATGAAGAAGAAAAAGAATAATTATTCTGAGAAAAATAAATTCTGACGAAATTTATTCAGATTTGCGTTCGGGGTAAAATTGTATAATTTCGAAAAGGGGTGATTAATTTTGAGTAAAAGAGATTAATTCAGTCGTGAATTAATCGAGTTTAGTCAAAATTAATTAAGGAGTTCAAAGAAAAAAAAAAAAAAAAGGACGTACTTCTGAAAAGAGAATTCCGAAAAAAAATTGCGAAAAATGATTTTTTGAATTTAAACAAAAATTGCAAAAAGGAGTATGTGAATTAAATACTGAGAAAAAGAATTAATTGCAAGGAAAATGAGCGATAGCGAACTTCAGAAATCAAACAGCATCATACACATGAGACCAGATAGTCGTGACCTCGAACCAATAGCAGAATCGCATCACGAGCTGGCCAGCGTTAGCGCAGCAGCGCTTGCGCCGTATGCAGCCAGTGCCCGAATGCCGAATGTGTGTGCAGGCCCTTTCCTAAATGGAAGTGGCCTGCCTGCCTTGCGTGCGGCCTGCTGCGCTGGGCCCCTGCCCAGAAGCTTCCGGTAGGCCCAGAGAGGCTGAGCCCCAGACCAAACGGATCAGGCCCAAGGCCTGTGACAGTTACCCGTGCCCAACTGCCCGCAGCCTGAGTTGGGTCCATGCTGCGTCTCTCGCCCAGGGCCTGACTCAGATGCATTTGATAAAGGAGGCCAGGGCCTGGGCGCTTTCAACGAACTGGCGCTGTGCAACTGCCTGAATTTTCCCCCAGTTGCGAAGTAGTCCAAAATAGGCCTCTTGTCGTCTGTCGAGCCTGCCTTCACTTAGGGCGGCTGACACTATTGCAAATAGGGGCCCAGTAGGGCTTATCGAGGCCTTGTGCCTCGCATAATTAGAATTATTTTTGAATTTCCAAAAGAAATATCGAAAAAGAATTTAATTAATTCTAACGTATTTTCAAAACTTTCGAAAAATCAATCGAACGAAAATAATTAATTCTAAAATATTTTTGAATTACAAGAATATTCGAAAAATAATTAATTAAAATGATTTTCGAATTTCGAAGATGAAATGCCGAGAAAGAATGCTTACTCCTATGTATTTTTGAAAAAAAAAAAAAAAACTTGAAAAAAGAAAATATTTTTGAGAAAGAAATGTTGAGATAGATAGTTCATTAAGTATTTTCGAATATTCAAAAATTTTACAATGAATTCTAGGGGAATAAAAATAATAATAATAATAATAAATAAAGGAATAAATAAGTTTTGATGTAAATTGAGGGCGGAGCGATCCTATCTACGATTGAATGGGTGGTAGCGTGGTAGGTAGGGTACGGGTAGATTGGTGATGATGATGATGATGATG